CACCCCCACTCCCACTCATGCTCTCATCCCCGTTGTCCGTGTCCACATAGCCTTCTTTTCATCATTCCACTCTTGGGGGGATTTCAGCAACGTAAGGTTTCCGGAACACTCTCCTTTTCTTGCACTTCTACATTTTACCGCACTTCGTCCGCCTGAATTCTTCCTGGGTCTTCAAGGAAAAAGAAATAGAATGTTGTCAACCAAGGGGATATTTCGGCATAGTACTGAGTGAGGAGAGGAAGCGCAAGGTAACCTCCCAAGCCACACTCACCATGTCACTAAAAGCATTCATTCCCAAGGTGTAGCCCGATCTCCCTTGCTTGTATTCCTCGTTGTGCAGGTCAACCATTTTCTTATTCTTCTCCCACACTGTCCTCCTCCATCCTTCTTCATCCTAGAGGCAAACATATAACCAACCTATCCTTTTGATTTCTATTGAAAACCAAGTCACCTTCACCAAGTGGGTTTGCAGAAGAGAAACCATGGCCAGGAAAGGTTTCTACTTGTTCTCCAGCACGCATACACCAGGGAGGTTTGCCCATATTGTGCTCAGTAATGGGTGTCATGCAGTCATTGCCTTGGGAAGAGCCAGCCTCAAGAGCAGTGGTTCTCAACCTTCTGGCCCTTTAAATACAGTTCCTCATGTTGTGACCCAACCATAAAATTACTTTCGTTGCTACTTCATAACTGTAATGTTGCTGTTATAAATCATAATGTAAATATCTGATATGCAGGATGGTCTTGGGCGACCTCTGTGAAGGGGTCATTGGACTGCCAAAGGGTTCACGACCCACAAGTTGAGAACCGCTGCTCAAGAGGCTACTGTCTGCCGTGGCTGGTTTGGCTCAGTGGACAGAGCATAGACCAGGGGACTGAAGGGTCCCAGGTTCAATTCCAGTCAAGGGGTTCATATTCCCAGGTTGCGGGCTCCATCCCCGGTGGGGGGCATGCAGGAGGCAGCCAATCAATGATTCTCTCTCATCATTGATATTTCTGTCTCACTTCCTCTCTGAAATTAACAAAAAATATTTTTTCTAAATATATTTTTATTGATTTCTTTTCAAGAGGAAGGGAGAGGGATAGAGTTACAAACATTGATTAGAGAAAATCGATCTGCTGCCTCCTGCACGCCCCCTACTGGGGATCGAGCCTGCAACCAAGGTACATGCCCTCGACCTGAATAGAACCCAGGACCTTCCCGTCCACAGCCCGACGCTCTATCCACTGAGCCAAACCAGTCAGGGCAATAAAAAAAAATTTTTTTTTAAAGCTACTTTCTGCTATAAACTCCAAAAGTCTGGACCATTCTCTGAGGGGTCCCTCTAGGTAATTTCAGATGTTACCAACCGGGCCATATACTTTTCCGTGTGTTGCCTTCCACTGTTGCCATTCTGCATCTAAACTTGCATCAAATTTTGGAGCAGATGAAGCTCCTCCTGGATTCATGTTTCAAAACCTAGGGAGGGAAAAGAAAG